AGGCAGAGGCAGGCAGATCTCTGTGAGTTCAAGGCCAGCCTGGTCTACATAGTGATTACAGGGCAGCTGGGACTACAGGGAGACCCTGTAAAAGGTCTCAAAAAGCAAAAAAAAAAAAAAAAAAAAAAAAAAAAAAGATTTATTTGGGGCTGGATTTATTTGGGACTCAGGGATTAAGAGCACTGGATATTCTTACAGAGAACCTGGGTTGGGTTCTTGGCATCCAAATGGCAGCTAACAACTGTTCCTAACTCCAGTTCCAGGGGGGGTCCGATGCCTCCTGACCTCTACAGGTATTGCATGACACAGGTAATGGGTGCACTTGCATACATGCAGGCAATACACTCATACACATAAAATAAAACGAAAAAATTAAAAAAATTTTTTTTTTTTCTTTTTGAAACAGGGTCTCCCCTGTAGTTCCAGCTGTCCTGGAACTCACTATGTAGACCAGGCTGGCCTTGAACTCACAAAGCTCCACCTGCCTCTGCCTCCCAAGTGCTGGGATTAAAGGCGTGTGCCACCATGCCTGGCCCCCATAAAAATTATTTTTTAAAAAGATGTATTTATTTTAGGCTGGGTGTGTGGTGCACACCTTTAATCCCAGGACTTAGGAGGCAGAGGCAGGTGGATCTCTGAGTTTGAGGCCAGGGCTACATAGTCAGATCCTGTCTCAAAAAACAAAACAAAACAAAAATATATCTATTTTTATTTTACATATATGAGTGTTTTGCCTGCATGTATGTAAGTGTACCTGTGTTCTGCAATACCTGAGAAGACCAGAATAGGATGTTGGATTCCCTGGAACCAGAGCTACAGATAGTTGTTAGCCACCATGTGAGTGCTGGGAACTGAACCTGGATCCTTTATAAAAGCAGCCAGTGCTCTTAATCACTGAGCCATCTCTCCAGCCTGGAAAAGAAAAGAATTAAATAAAAAGAAAGTCAGGACATTGTCCATAAGAGCAAAACATATTTTAGTGCTCTTCAGTCTCTTGCCTGTACCCTACAAAATGATGCCCAAGAGCCCAAGGGCTCACTCCTAAGTGCAACTGTGACGACGAAGCAAACCAGGACTAAGGGCCTGAAAAATGGTACCCAAAGGGTAGGGAAATAGCCCAATGGGTAAAAGCACCGGCCACACATCGACCTGAGTTTGGATTCCTGGAACCCAAGTAAAAGCCGAACGGGAAGTACAAACATCTGTGAGGAGATAAGAAGCAAAGACAGAGCATCCCCAGAAGCTCAAGAGCCAGCCAGCCTGGCGTACACTTGTACTTAACGAGACGTTCCCATAGATGACTGCTGAATGCCAGAATAAAAGAATGAATGAAGGGCTGGAGAGATGCTCAGCGGTTAAGAGCACTGGCTACTCTTGCAGAGGATCTCAGTTCAGTTCCCAACATCTACATGGCATTTCACAAAGATCCGTAACTCCAGTTCCAGGGGATTAGATGTTCTCTTCCAGCTTCTACAAGCATTACATATGTGTGGTACACTTACATACATGTGGGCAAGCACTCAAACACATAAAATAAAAATAAATAAATAAATAAATGTTTTAATGCATAAATGGGGCAGGGCCTGGTGGTAGACACCTCTAAGTCCAAGACTCAAAGGACTCTGATTTAGGACAGCCTGGGCTACCTGATAAGTCCCTGTCTCAAGAAACAGATAACAAAGAAAGAGGACAACAAATCCCGGGTCCTCACCACTCTCCAGCAGAGCCTGAGGTTGCTGAGATGCATGGTCAGCCTGAGTTTCCATGGGGAGGGCTAGATGTTCTAGGCTCCAGTCTCCTATTTGCAGACTCAGCAGGAAGCAGGCACTGAATGAGAATGAAGCAGCACTGCAGAAGCAAAAGATCAAGGATCATTTTTAAAACACCTCCTGAATCCAGAAAGAAGAAATCCACAAGAAACACAGCAACTGCTTGAGATTTCTGTAATGAGACTATATGAGGATCACAAAAAGGGCCCAAATTTCCAACCTCTGTTCCACCCCACAACATTTGAGTGACAAGTGTAACAAAATAAGTGAATATTGTTCACCAGGATGAAATGATTTACCCTGAGCCAGGTATGGTGGCACACACCTGTAATCCCAGCACTTGAAAGATAGAGGCAGGAGAATCAAGAGTTCATGGCCAGCCTTGACTACTTGAAACCTTCTCTCAAAAATATAGAAGGATGGTTAAGAGCACTGGCTGCTCTTGTAGAGAACTCTGGTTGAGTTCCCAGCACCCACGTGTCAGATAACAACTGTGCATAACTCCAGTTCTAGGGGATCCAATGTCCTCTTCTGGCTTCCATGGGCATTGCATAGAATATAGTGCACTTACCTTCACGCAAGCAAAACACTTATACACATAAAAGTTAAAAAAGATTAACCAAATTGTGCTTCCTCTTACTGAGGAGTTCCTTCCCTCTTCTGTTTTTTAGGTGTATGAGTGTATTGCCTGCATGTATATAAGTGCACCTGTGGTGTGCAATGCCCATGGAGGACAGAAGAGTAATTGCTGAGCCATCTCTTCAGCCTCAGCCTACTCTTTTTTTTTTTTTTTTTTTTTGAGACATTGTCTCGTAACTTTTCACCGGGTTCTGTCTCAAAAAACAACAGAGCTATGTGTGATGGTACATGCCTTTTAATCCCAGCACTCAAAGTCAGGAAGTAGAGGCAGGTGGATCTTGTGAGATCAAGGCCAGCCTGGTCTACATAGCAAGTTCCAGGTCAGCTGGGGCTACAGGGAGACCCTGTCTTAAAAAAACCCAAAAATAAATCATACAAAACAAAACCCCAACAACACAAACATGATCAACTTGGCAACACTATGCAACCCCATCTCAAAAAAAAACAAAAAAAAACTGGGACTGGAGAGATTGCTCAGTGGTTAAGAGCACTGGTTGCTCTTGCAGAGGACTGGGATTCAGTTCCCAGCACCCATATGGCAGGTAACAACCACCTGTAAGTCAGTTCCAGGGGATCCAACACCACCCTCTGAGCTCCATGGGCATTGCATGATACAGATTCACTTACATACATGTAGACAATACACTCATACACATAAAATAGAAATAGTAAATAAAATATTAAAACAAAAAACAAAAACAACAAAATCCCCTCTCTTTAAAAAAGCAAGTCAACAGCCTGGCATGGGGGGTACAAGCCTGAAATTCCAGCACTCGAGAGGCTGAGGCAGGAAAACTGTTTAGTTGTAAGTCTTGGATACAGGACAGGACCTATGTCAAACAAACAAACAAACAAACAAACAAAGACCAAGCAAGCCAAAAGCTGACTCCTGAGAAAAAGCCAATATTCATATGGCTGGGTTCATCAAATCTGGAACTCAAAGGCATATTGTTGAGAACAAGTCCCCAGTGTCTGGGTCAGTGAACAATGTTTCTCATTCTCTGTGTCCTCCCTCAGATCTGAGTCCAGGTGGGGCCTTCCCCCTGCCCTACTGCCAGTCCCACTCCCTGAAGCTTCTCATTGGGGCTGAGAAGGATCACCTGACAGTAAAGCCAGGCCAAAAGAAGCTTTCTTTCTGAATCCCTTCCTTCCTTCTTTGGAGTTAAGTCACCAGAAAGCCAAAGTAGCAATAGCTAGAAAATTGGCATCCTTGGTTCAGTTCCTAGAAATCCTTTTTCTTTTTTTTTTTCATTGATCTTATTTGTTTTGAGAGCAGACCTAACTCTATACCCCAGGCTAGCCTGGAATTTATTATGTAGTCCAGGTTGGCTTGGAATTCATAGCGCTCCTTCTGCTTCAGCCTCCCAAGTGAGGCAAACTGACTTTAGTTGTTCGCCAAGGCTGTGTGATTAAGGAGGCAAAACGAAATAATCACATAAATTTGATTTCTAACCTAGATTCTTAGAGATATGAAAAATGATAGCAATGAATATCACAACTCATTGCACTCTGGTGAGCTGAAAGGGAACTGAAGGTTCTCTGCATCAACCTCCACCAGAGTAAGAAGCTCTAGTGCTTTGTCAGCTAACTGGCTGGACACAGTCTGGCACTTCTGCAGGGGGTCTCTTCTGGGGTTGCACAGTTTAGCCATGAAACGGTCTTGGGCAGTAAGCTAAAACCTATCCCATAGGACCAAGATCAAGTCCTTTGAAAATTCAAAGCCTTTTCCTTGTACAAGACTGTCAAATGCTTGAAACCAAATGAAACTCTCCACACATACCGTCTCTACAGAAAAAAACAAAAAAACAAACAAACAAAAAAAACAGCCTTCAGTTCCTCTTATGAGTGTCAAGCTCCGTTATTTGTATTTTTATGGGGTTTACACACGCCTCAGTGTATAGATTCTGGTCGGTGTTCAATCTCATTTCTCAAGCAAATTAAGGGCTGTAGATGTGGCACAGTTGGCAGAGTGCTTGCCTAGCATGCATGAGGCTACGGGTTCCATCCACTGAACCATATACATCAGGTGTGATGACACACACCTCTAATCCTAGCACTTGGGAGGTGGAGGCAGGAGGATCGGAGAAATTCAATTCAAGGTCATCCTTGATTACACACAGTTTAAGAACAGCAAGAGATCCTGCTTCAAAAACAAAGTCAATCAAACTGGGGATCAAAACTATTGGAACTGGGGCGTCGGGCCGGTTCTATCACTCTCCTTCAAGAAAAGACTGGACTTGCTGAGCTCATGGTGAGCAGGATCAGTCCCTGGATCCGAATTTGTACCTCTTCCCAAGCCCTAGTTATCCCTGCGATCCAGAACTACTCATTCTCGAATTTTCCCTTACAGTTAAAGAAAATACAAACTTCCTCTCCTGCCAGCAGCACCGGGAGGGATTAACCACTCGGCGAAGTAACAAGTTAGGGTCGCTGTCATCAGCTGTTTTAAAGCGAAGGACGCCTCTGCGGCGACGCTGGGAGTTTGCAATGCGGGACTGGAGGCTGCAGAAAACCCAAAAGCAGCTCCGGAGTCCCGTTCCTGCCACGCGTGGAGCGCGGGGTCCTCGGACACCGGCTAGGTGAGCGGTTGCAGGGGCGCGAGGAGCACGGCGGACCCCTCGGAGCCGGGCCCGGGGACCCCGCGGGCCGCAGCTGCGTGAACACCAACCCCCTTCCCTGGCGACCACAGCTTCCGCCTCACCGCGAGCGCCGCAGACGGCCCGACTCACCCTGGGGATAGGGACGGGAGGTTTAGGGGGCCAGACACGGACTCAGGCACAGTTGGAGCCTGTCACGGACTCAAACACCGGGGACAGAACAAAGAACGGAAGTTCCCCTCCCCCATTTCGTTTCCGGGTTGTCCTTTCTCACCACCCACTACCACCCCCGGGAGTCCTGACGCCCACTTGCTCTCTCTAGGAAAATGGGAGGTCTTCACCTCTCGATGGTTTGCAGACTTTAGCGACCAGCGCGGGTAGATGCTCCCGATCGGGCCACCTGCCGGCCGGGTGGTGAAGGGACGAAGCCCAGTGGAGGAAGCTGGAGGCCCTGGGAATTCAGGGCTCATGTTCTCGAAAGGAGTGCGGGGGCCCTCTGGGCACGGGTTTAATGGGTCCAGCCGGGCCCCAGAGCTCCACAGCAAATACAAGAACCTTGAAAGAGTTCGGCTGGGGACTGGGGGGTGGGCCTGGAGAGATGGCTCAATGGATAAGAACGCTGGCTGCCCTTGCAGAGGACCCGAGTTGGGATTCTCAGCATTCGTCTGTAACTAGTTTCAGAGGATTCAACGCTCTTTTAACCTCCATGGGTGCACACACAGGTGCACTCACATACATGCAGACGAACATTCATATACATAAAGATAAAAATAAATCAATAAAAAAAAACCTTGATGTTTATTTTCCTGTAAACAACCAAAGACACTGGGAATAGGGTGATTTGATTCCCTAATTAGTATCTATTATATTCCCTCTTCCTGCCCAGACTGTCCTAAGCGAAGGGACTCTCAGTCTCACAGTTCGTCAGACTACCCTTATACCAGCACCAGCTGTCTGTCTGGAACACTCAACAGAGCCCCGGAGACATCTATTCCCCTGGTTTTTGAAGGCACAGCCCTACTGGAGGCTGCTTGACACAATTGGCACACCAAGTAGTTTGCTGTCCTAAGTCCATGAACTCTAGATGACCCTGTAGTCATTTCCACCTTGACCAGAAGGGAGCAGTTCCCCTGGTGGAAGTACTAGTGTGACTGGTGCTATGAAGGTAAGGCCATGATTGGTCCAAAATTCAAGCCTCAATGACTGAGTCGTGCTAGGTGGCCAGACTGTGATTGGGCCAAACACAGCTTCTCAAGCTATGTAGTAGGCTGCTTAGACTCAGCCAACTGGAAGACACTCCTATGCTACTTTCCTTGGTGGTGCAAGCAAGCTTTAATTTATTCATTATCTATCTATCTATCTTCCCATCCATCTACTCACCCACCCATTTGTCCACCCATCCATTCATCCACCTACCCACCCATCTGTCCACTCATCCATCTACCTGTCCACCAATCTATTCATCCACCCATTCATCCATTCACTCATCTACTTATCTATCTTTTCAATATTTTCTTTCTACTGATTCATTCATCCTTGCTAGCCATCTATCATCATCCATCCATCCACCCACCCATCCATCCATTATCCATTCATCCACCATTCATCTATCATCTACTCATCCATCCATCATCCACCCATTCACCCATCATCCATCCTTCCATCATCCATCCATCATCCATCCTCCCATCCATCTAGCCATCATCCATCATCTATCCTTCCACCCATCCATCCATCATCCATCCTTTCATCCATTCATCCATTATCCATCCATCCATCCATCATCCATCTTTTCATCCATCATTCATCTATCCATCCTTCCTTCCATCCATCCATCCATCCATCCATCATCCATCCTTCCATCCATCCATCCATCATCCATCCTTCCATCCATCATCCATCATCCATACTTTCATCCATTCATCCATCATCCATCCTTCCATCCATCCATCCATCATCCATCCTTCCATCCATCATCCATCATCCATACTTCCATCCATCCATCCATCATCTATCATCTATCATCTATCTAATCTATCTATCTATCTCTCTATCTATCATCTATCTATCATCTATCTATCAATCATCTATCTATCTATCTATCTATCTATCATCTATCTATCTATCTTCTATTTATTTTGGTTTTTGAGACAGGGTCTCCCTGTAGCCCCAGCTGTCCTGGAACTCCCTATGTAGACCAGGCTGCCTTGTTGCATATGTGTATGCATGTTTGCATGTGTATGGATACACATGTATGTGGTTGTGTGTGCATGTGCTGCATGTGTTGAAATCCAGTGTCTTCCTCCATTACTCTCTGCTTTATTTATTGAGGCAGACTTCCTGAACCCAGAGCTTGCTGACTCTATGCTAGTCTAGCTAGCTGGCTTGCCCTAGGGATCCTGCCTCACCTCCAGAGCAACAGGATTACAGGAGACTGCCACACCCACTTGGCTTCTGTGTGGGTCCTGGGGATCCAAACTTAGGTCCTCACACTTATGTGACAAGTGCTTTATTCACTGAGCCATATCCCCAGCCCCACATTCACTTTTATGCCTTCATAAGAGGGATCCTCCAAGCTTTTATTTCCTCTACAAGATGAAATTTTCTAATATCAGAATAAAAATGTCCTCCTGGGGCTGGAGAAATGGCTCAGCAGTTCTTGCAGAGGACCTAGGTTCAGTTCCTAGCACACACACAGTGGCTCACAACCGTCTGGAACTCTAGTTCCAGGGGATCTAATGCCCTCTTCTGGTCTCTGCAGGCACTACATGGGTGCACATACAAACATGAATTCAGGCACTCATACAGGTAAAATAAAAATGCTTTCTTTTTTAAAAAGGCCTTCCTAATTCTTTTTACAGCCTTACCTCTCTTTGATTCCAATTTGCACAGCATCCAGTCTCTACAGGACTCCTACTGAGTTCTGGAAACTAACAGGTCTTACTCTCCAGTGACTTCTGGCAGACCCAAGATCTACTGACTCAGAATCTCTGGATTCTGAGCATGAAATATCTTTGTGATGATGTAAGGATTCCATAAGGGGCAGTGTTGGTGCACCCCTGTAATCTCAACACTTGGGGAGGTTGAAGCAGGAGGATCAGTATGAGGTAGTCTGGGCGACATAGCAAGACTAAGCAAAAAAACGGGAAGGGAAAAGGAAGGGGAGGGGGAAGGAGAACTAGCAATGACTAAAGGAAAAGTTTGAAATCTCAGCTTTAAAGTTTATATGGCAGCGTCTGTGCATCAGAGGCCATGTCTCAGTGCAACAGCGCCACCTGCTGGATCCAGCCACAAGGGACGCCCTTCTAAAAAGCTGCTACCTGAAAGCGTTAGAGTGGGAGAGGGATGAAAGGATAATGCGAGGTGAATGCGATCGAAATACATGATATACATGTATGAATGCGACAAAGAAAAAATAAAATACTAAGAAAACAAGAGGAGTGGGGATGTAGCTCAGTTGATAGAGGACTTGCCTAGCATACACGAAGCCCTGGGTTCCACCCCCAGCACCACATAAAGCAGACGCCGTGCTGCTGCACGCCTGTAATCCCAGGATTTGGGAGGTGGATCTGAAGTTCAAGATCATCCTCAGATGCATACTACCAAGTTCAAGGTATTATGCCCCGGCTGTTCTGGAACTCACTATGGAGACCAGCCTGGACTACCAGAAACCCCTACTCAAAACAACCAACAAAACACACCCACGAACTGGCACAGCCCCAAGTGGTGAGGTCCTAAGAGATGTCCCGCCCTCTCCCAGCCAAGCACACACTGAGCTTGCGCCGCTCGCCGACGGAAGCCGGGAAGGAAGGGGGCGGGGCCGAGGTTGGCGGGCGCGGGGAAAATGGCGGCGGCGGCGGCGGCTGCAGCGAACGGGACTGGAAGCAGCAGCGGCATGGAGGTGGATGCAGCAGGTAACGGGCCGTGCGCAGTGGTCGCTGGGGTCGCTCTTGCGGGGTGTCGCGGGTCCCTCTTAACCTCCGGGGAGAAGTGACATTCGCTCTGAGGATCACTTGCGGGGAGGGATGGATGGACCGCTCCGGCTCTGGCGTCCCTCACTCCTGCCTCCAGGGAATTATGTGGGGCTCGAGCTCTGACCCACCCTTTTCCTTCCACCTTTCCTAGTCCCCAGCGTGATGGCCTCCGGAGTGACAGGGAGTGTTTCCGTCGCTCTCCATCCCCTTGTCATCCTCAACATCTCAGACCACTGGATCCGCATGCGCTCCCAGGAGGGGCGGCCTATGCAGGGTGAGTGTTCGGTAAGATCGCCAGCCCTCCTCCAGGAGACCTCTACACACTGTTCTTAGTTTCCGCGTCCATGCCGCACTGACTTGCAGAGCCTCTGGTATTAGGAAAGGTTTTGGATGCCTTTCCCTCACCTTTTTTCTGTGTGCTTCTTTCCCCCCAGTGATTGGGGCTCTGATCGGGAAGCAGGAGGGCCGAAATATCGAGGTGATGAACTCCTTTGAGCTGCTGTCCCACACCGTGGAAGAGAAGATTGTCATTGACAAGGAATATTATTACACCAAGGAGGAGCAGTGTGAGAGGGGAACAGAAGTGGGGAAGAGAAAGGGCAGGGTTTTTGTCTTTTTTTTTTTTTTTTTAAAGAATAAAAGGGCTGGGATTATAGCTGAGTGGGTAGATTGCTTGCTTGCCCAACATGTAGGAAGCCCTGAGTTCAATCCTCAGTAACACATAAAACAGGAGTACTGGCATATACATGTAATCCCAGCACCCAGGAGGTGGATGCAGATCAGAAGTTCAAAGTTATCTTCAGCAGGTAAAGGATGAGAGGTGACAGGATAGAAAAGTGTGGTTAAGCCAATTGTGGTGGCACATGCCTTTAATCCAAGCACTCTGGAGGCAGAGACAGGTAGATCTCTGTGAGTTGGAGGCCAGCCTGGTCTACATAGTGAGTTCTAGGCCAGCTGGGGTACAGGGACACCCTGACTCAGAAAAACAAACAGCCCCCCCCCAAAGAAAGGTGTAGTTATCCTAACCTGAGCCAAGATTGGAGGGAAGGGGGAGGAGCTGGTTTTGAAAATATGTAGATAATCTATAGATATATAGATATCAGGTACATCAAACTAAGGAAGGATGGTTTAAAGAAATCCTGTGTGCTCTGGCCCCTTCCTCTCCAGTTAAACAGGTGTTCAAGGAGCTGGAGTTTCTGGGTTGGTATACCACAGGGGGGCCACCTGACTCCTCCGACATCCACGTCCATAAGCAGGTATACAGACTGGAAAGTGCATGCTGCGGGAGAGAATAGGGAATGAGTGGTTGAAGGGGCACTGGCTTTGCTGAGCTTTGTCTTTTTCTTCCAGGTGTGCGAGATAATAGAGAGTCCCCTCTTTCTTAAGTTGAACCCTATGACCAAGCACACAGATGTGAGTATTCTTGACCCCAGGACCCTTTGTGTTAGGAACATCTACCACTTGCCTGTTTTTTGTTTCGTTTTCTTGTGTGTGTGTGTGTGTGTGTGTGTGTGTGTGTGTGTGTGTGTGTGTATGTAGATGGGCTATGTAGCCCTGGCTGTTCTGTAACTCAATATGTAGATCAGGCTAGCCTAAAACTCAAGTGAGGCCACTCAGGAGGCTAAGGCAGGAAGATTGTGATTTCAAAGTCAGCCTGGTACACAGGGTAAGTTCAAGTGCATTTGCTCTTAGTAAGAGTTGTTCTCCATCTATTTCCTACAGCTTCCTGTTAGCGTTTTTGAGTCTGTCATCGATATAATCAATGGAGAGGTAATACCTATCCTGCAACCTTCAGATCCTTTTGGCCTGTTCTGCTGTGTGTGCCATAGCATTTGTGTGGGGTCAGAGGACAACCTAGGGTATCCATCCTAGCCTTCTACCTTGTGTGAGATGGGGGTCTCTTATTGCTAGTGGATATGCACCTGTGAGTTTCTTGGGTATTTTTCTGTCTCTACATCTGTACAAACACATGGTATATTGTCTAGCTTTATGTGGGTTCTCAGGTGGCAGCAAGTGCTCTATCCACTGAGCCTTCTCCTCAGCCCTGTTTCCTGTTCCTGACACTATGTGGGATATTTTACCCTGTAGGCCACAATGCTGTTTGCTGAACTGACTTACACTCTGGCCACTGAGGAAGCTGAACGCATTGGTGTAGACCATGTGGCCCGAATGACAGCAACAGGCAGTGGGGAGAACTCCACTGGTAAGGGAGGTGACTCCCAGAAGTATGGGGCAGAAGGTGTGGCCATATGCATACTTTCTTCATCTGCTCCTGTTCCCCTGCAGTGGCTGAACACCTGATAGCGCAGCATAGTGCTATTAAGATGCTGCACAGCCGTGTGAAGCTCATTTTGGAGTATGTCAAAGCCTCAGAAGCAGGTAGGGCAGGTGCTTCTCTGTCACTCTTAACCATTTTGCATCTCCTGGAGAAGTGACAGCATCCACATCAATGTAGCCTCATTGTGCCCTTAGGAGAGGTGCCCTTCAACCATGAGATCCTGCGGGAGGCCTACGCCCTATGTCACTGCCTTCCAGTCCTCAGCACAGACAAGTTCAAGACAGACTTTTATGATGTGAGTCTGACACCTGGGGAGGTGGGACTCAGTTGTCCCTTAGTCCTAATATGAAAGACCCCTGGGGAACTGGTTCTTTCTGTTCCCTCCCAGCAATGCAACGATGTGGGGCTCATGGCCTACCTTGGCACTATCACCAAAACTTGTAACACCATGAACCAGTTTGTGAACAAGTTCAACGTCCTCTATGACCGACAAGGCATTGGCAGGCGAATGCGGGGACTGTTCTTCTGATGGGGGTTCTGGAAGGGATGGTGCAACGGGCTCAGACAACTGTCTGGGGGCTGGGCACTGCATTCCCTAGATCTACTGCTGTCTTTAATAAAGAGGAGCAGCCCTCAGCACCCCTTCCACTTGCTTTCTTAATGGCACCACACTGGTTTCTCAGCTTGGAATCCTAAGGTCCTGTGCTATAGCCTTCTCAAGAAGAATCCATTTCTCAGCTCTTCCTGACCAGCCCCCAGCCCCTTCAGTGACTCAAGGTGACTGGTCCTGGACCACTATGCTGTCTTCCAATTCTCTGTTCTGTTTTCCATTTTTAGAAGTGACAAGTGACTACTTTCCTAGGCTAATTTTATTTTTTCATGCAAAAAGGGGAGGAATACAAAGCCCATTTTTATTGGGGACAACTCAAAGCCATGGGCCCTGAGAAAAGTGACTTCTTGGGCTCAGTATACATGTGCCTCACCTGTATGGCATGCTAACTGATTGAGGTTGGAGGTTCCAGTGATTCTTTGTGCCAGGTGTGACATTTCTACACATCCCCTTTGGGTGGCCCCAAGATGTATGATGAAAGCATTTTAAGAAATAGGTGGTACAGCCCCTGCACCTCATCCTGGTACCTGATCCTCCCAGCCTGACTAGCTCATAGTGACAGTATTTTGGACTGGGGAGAAAACAGGAGGGACATAAAAGTTGGGAGACCCAGTTCTGGATTGCCACACGCTTTAGTCCTTGCTGCACCCCCAGTGTCTCAGCAGGTATGATCTGAATAGATGAAGTAAACACAAAAGGGAACAGTATCAACTTGGGGACTCTACCAGACTGTTAACAGAACACCAAAACACTTTATTAGCAACAGGAATAAAAAGTGCAGCATGGGAAATGGGGTCTTCCCCTCCAGGACACTGTCACCTTTCTGAGGGGCAGATGGCACACAGTCCAGGGTGGGTGGCAGGTCTCAAGCAGATTGCTATCAGACAAAGGTGATCCGTGTCTTAGAAGTATTGACCTGCCAGACATTTAACTCCTCATACTCATCCAGAGCCGCCTGGAACTGGGCAGGCGTGAAGCCACGTGATATGCAGCGCTGCTCAGCCTCAGAAAAGCGGACGCTTTGGCCCCCTGAGACCAACTCACGGACAGTGGCAAATATCACATCTGCTGGCCTCTGGGTTCTGAAACACATGGATGAAAAAGGTCAAAGCTAAACAAAACAGTGGTGGTCAGTGTCAGAATTCTGAGGCCAACCTTGTATGAGGTACAGAAGTCAAAGTCCAGGTGGCCCACACTCACCTAGTTGTTTGCCCCTTGTCACCCAGAAGGGAGTCCTTTGACATCTCCATTAGCCTTATGGCTTCATTCACGTCTTCCTTCTCTACAGTGTCCACCATCCGCAGGCGTGCCTAAGGGGAGGGCAGGGGCAAGATGGGCACAGGAGGGAGGAGGGAACAAAGTCAGAGACCATCTATGCTCCACTTTAAGGCTGGGCAAGCTATGTTTGCCTATTCATAACAAGAATGGGGACTCCTCCCTGCCCCCCAATATCTGCAGTGTTGGGCCGGCACTGTCAGACCGAGACAAGTGCAATGCCCAGGGCAGCGTCCAGCAATTGCCCAAGTCTCCGCCTCTCAACACTGGCCAGTCCCGGTGTTCAGCTGTCCTGTGAGGGAGACCAGACCCTTCTGAACTCCACTGGGCTCCCCACCATGACAGATGGAGCCTGGGAAGCCCAGCCAAGGCCACTGGCAGAGGTTGTGTCCTAGGGGCTCGGGAAGTGCTAGCTCAGCAGTAGGTTGGGTAATCACACTACCTGCACGAACAGCACTTTGGAGCCCCCATGACAGTCCAAGATGGGAGGACAGAATGAAAATTTCTAAGACCAGATCCTTTAAGATATTGGGAAACTCAAACTCTTTCACCCAAGAGGGTGAAAGCAAGTAGGCCTTTCCCTCCACAGGCGCTGCACATGCCCTGCTGGAGCAGCAAGTACCCACAGTGCGGTAGCACGGAGAGGACCACTATCTGCACTGTCAGCACTTTAGCCCCAGCAAGGCCAGTGGGACAGAGGGAGGAGGCAGTCAGAGGACCTTTAAGCTGAGGTGCCAGGCAAGGATCAGCTCTTCAGCTGACAGGGACTTAGCACTCACACTCACCAGTGCAGTGGAAAGTCGGAGAATAGCCAGCAGGGTCCGGGCGGAAGTATAGGTGGCATCCTTACTGGCCCAGGCCTCTCGCCTCATCTCCACATATGCTGCTGTGATGTAGTCAGCCAGAGATTCGGGCACTGTGGGCTGCCTCTCTCTGCACATGGCTATGTACCGTCTGTGGGAGACAAGGCTCGTGGGAAAGGAGAAAGCAGTCCGAACTTTCAGGGATCCTCACTTAAGATTCTTAAAGGCCTTTTCTGCAGGAAGACCAAATACTACCACCACCACAAAAACCCCCAAAGGAGGATTATCTGCTTGGCTTGAAAAGACTAAGGCACTTCTCCAAACAAGCTGCCAGTGTACTCAAGTGACTTTCAACTTTTCAGGAAAACAACCTTTGCAAAAGACAAATCACATCCAGATCCTCTGAACTTATCCCTCTTACATGAAGATAACAGGTTAAAAGGGGTTTAGAAATCAGAAAGATCAGAGATGCTGTCAAGCAATCTGTGGCAGATCCAGCTTGGCCAAAGGGCTGTATCTGCCTCAATCCTGTCACAGGATGACAGTGGATGAGAACGAAAGTGGACAAGGAGGAAAGTTAATCTACCTATCTTGGGAAATGTTTTATTTTTGGTGACCTCTCCAAAGAAATCTCCAAGAGATCCTCCTGCCTCAGCCTCCAGGACAGCTCAGATTATAACCTGACCATAGCCTGCTCCACCATGCCCAACCAGAAACATTGTTCTTTTGTAGCCAGGCTGGCAGATGGGAACCCAAGTTTAATGGTCTCAGGCTCATGCAATTTGAAAAAGGAACAGTATTAAAAACACACCTCCTCCCAACACTGAAAGCTTTTCAGAGACACCTGGCCTCAGACAATGCCATGTGCCAGGGATATTTCCCCGAGATGTGCCCACCCCTAGCTCTCTCACCTCATAAGCTTCATGTCCAAAGGTTCAAACTGGGCAGGGGGCTGCCGGCTATGCTGGTGCACATAGGTGATGTGCTGGGCCAACCTAGAGAGAACACAGGCAAGAAGCACTCTTTAGGGCTATACACCTAGGTCCCGACTCAGTACCAAAGCATGGTGTGGACAAACCACCCAGGAAGCATCTCAGCCCTGACCCTCCATCTTCCCGTTAACCGTGGACCAGCCAGCTGTGCAAAGGCCAAAGTTTCTGTGCACCTCCCTCCCTCCAGACCATCAAACAGGGCTGTCTCTCTGGGAGATGTGCTTTATTCACCGGAGGTCATTGTCTCGGTCAGGCCGGTCCTGAATCAGCCAAAGGAGGTCAAATCTGGAGAGCAGCGCAGCAGGAAGTTGGATGTTCTGCTCCAGACTGCGGCGGGGGTTGTAGCGCCCATAGGCAGGGTTAGCAGCAGCCAGTATGGAGCAGCGGGCATTGAGGGTGGTTAGAATGCCTGCCTTGGCAATGGAGATGGTCTGCTGTTCCATGACCTCATGAATGGCTGTGCGGTCAGCCTCAGCCATCTTGTCAAACTCATCAATGCAGCATACACCCTGGTCAGCCAACACCAGGGCCCCGCCCTCTAAGGTCAGCTCTCCACTCACAGAGTCTCTCAACACAGCTGCAGTGAGCCCCACTCCAGAGGAGCCACGGCCTGTTGTGTATTGGCCTGGACAGAGAGAAATAGCAGGCTGTTGAAGAAAGGCACTGTTCTCAACTTCTCAACCCAGGCCTTGCAGAGGCAGCTGAAGATCTGCAGCAGCAACACTGCCCTCCCTGAGCTCTCTCCTGCTCACCTCTGCCTTTTGAACAGAGTCCTATCCCTGTCCATACTCACTTCGGGGGGCCAGGCGATCAATGTAAGATAGAAGCTGAGACTTGGCCACACCAGGGTCCCCCATCAGGCAGATATTTATATTTCCTGGAGGAAGAGAAGGAAGCCCCCTGAATGACTCTTCTCTCAAACCAAGTTGTCCACCAACATGGAAGAGCACCTCTAAGATTTGGCTCCCCTATTTCTTCTAAGCCACCTACAACCATAGAGCCATAGGACACTATGTCTCATCCTTTTTTACTCCCCCCTCAAACGGCTTTGTCCTAAGTCTCCCCATCTTCCTCCTTACCCCTGATCTTCATGCCTCGAGGGGACTGGTCTACTCCGCCCACCAGCAGCAGCAGCAGGGCCTTCTTCACATCTTCATGCCCGTAGATCTCCGGGGCAATGGAAGCAGCCAGCTTTTCATAGAAATCCTCCTCTGCAATGAAGTTAGAACATTTTCAAGACAAAGGGCTGAGAGGAGAGAGATCAACACGATCTTATAGCCCCTCACCTGCAATCTGCCTCAGTTCCTCCCTGCTCAGCTCTCCAGCCCCAGCTTCATCATCCTCACTCTTGCTCATCTTCACAATACGGTGGGCTTCCAGGAAAGTTTCTGCCAGCAATCCCTTGGGCAGGAGAATGCCAGTGTGAGGGGACTCACTTTAAACTCTCATCACATCCCTAACAATTTTTTCACTACCATCGGTTCCACCCTGTTTGGTATTTTAATTTTCCGCGTGGAGAGCGGATGAGGTAGAAAGGAAATGGTTTCCTCGTTTTGGAACCCCTGTATCTACCTGTGCCATTTGTCGGAACCCTGTGCGGAGGACTGGCAGGAAGACACCAGTGACACTGACATGATCCCCAGGCTGAGCAATCCTTGTGTTCTCGCCTTCTACCAGCACTGTTATGCTACGAGGGATGTTTCCCACAGGCACTTGGTCACTCTAGGGGAAGGGAAGAATGCATGAGAATATGAGGCATAGAGACTAACCTCACCCTCTCCCCAACCCCAGGAAGCCCACCCTAGGGAAGCTTGAATGAGGAAGTTGACTGGATTTTGGGGGAGGGAAGACAGGGTCTTCTTATAGCCCCAGATGGCCTGGATGTCCCCAAGGAATGCTGAGATTAAAAGTATGTGCTGACATGCATGGCTTGAACTGGGAAATTAAGCTCTTACCCCCTCAACTCAAATCAGAAAACTTCAGTTACATCCACGTCTCAGGCTTTTAGCTAAGAGCACATGTGGAAACCTCCTTCCTCCTTTAGGTGACCCCTATGCCCCAGCTCTTTCCCCATCCTTTCTTCCTGACACCTCACAAGTGACTGCAGGATTCAGGTGGATTCCGTGACAATGTCCCCCAAACTCACATGTTCTTGCATCTTCATCTCCTGAAACTTAATAAACTTGGAGCCACGTGTCTGGAGGTACAGCCGCCCTCCTGAGCGGTTAGTCTGACACTCCTGGCTGGGGCACATGATCAGAGGCATGAAGGTAGGAGACTGGATCTAGATATGAGAAAGAAATCCCAGAGAAAATCAGAAAAAAAATCCCTTACAATCACCACAGGAATCATTTCTACCTGGTGGCAAGGACCTTAAAGTTTAAGAACCTCTTGAGCAAGCATCAAGAAAACAAAACAGCCAGGAAGACCACTAGCTACCAAAGAATTCAAAGTGAACTGCTGGAGTACCTTTCACAATAATCAGGGGCAATAACAGATTACCATCAGTGGAAAAAATTTCCTTTTTCAAAGATGAACACGTACTGGCTGGTAGGTCTCTGCTCCACACTGATCACAAGTGTATGTAGCAACCACCATCCTGGGCTTGACTTCAGAGACACGAGTGACGATCCCACGCACAGTCACCAATTTCCCCACAGAGTCAGCTCGCACTTCCCGGATCACACGAGGCTTGCTACTACTTGGGCCTTGAAAATACAACTCGCTAAAAGAAAAATGATGGTCAGCAAAGTCATGAGGACATTCCCTAACCCTTCCCTCACTGACACTCACAATCTGCGCATGAGCTCAGGAGGATACTGATTCTGGGGGTTTCGAGTTGCCCCAGGGTCCCGGCTCCGCTGTTCCATCATCAGCCGGTGCTCAATGTAAACATCCAGGACATCTTTATTTACCACCTAAACAAGACAGTAAAATGAGGAGCAGGATAGAGAAAGGAGGGTACCAGGCAGCCCAGCTCAGAAACCCGAGGCAATCTACCTCTTTCTCCTTGTACTGAGGCAGCAGCTCTTGTACAACATCAGCAAATAGCCTCGCATAGCGCTTGGCATTCTCACAAATTGAGTCCACCAACTCAGGGTCATCCTCAGCCACGTCATCCAAGTCAACATACAACGCCACTTGTTCGCGATGAGCCAGGCGAACCTGAAGTGAGGAAGAGATGGTAAGACCTCAGGGCCAAGTTTACCTCCTCCACTGTTGTGCACTGAGCTCAGTCTCTGGACATCCATCAGTGGTTTAGAAAAGAGCAACATAGCACAGCAGTGCTCCCTCTTCAGCTTTGGAAAGAACTTCCTAAAAACACCCTGACTATGAATGTGCTATTATATCCACTTATCAGACACTCTGCTAAATTAGTCACACAGCTGGCACATTAATCTCAACACCTGGGAGATAGAGGTGGGAAGATCAGGCTTTCAAAGCCAAGCTCAGCTATGTAACTATGTATGTAGGGAGTTACGGAGGCCAGCATGGGCTATGTAGATCACAAACTAGGGGATGATGAGATGGTTCAGTGGGAAATGTACTTGCTGCCAAGCCTGAGGACCTGAGTTCAATCCCCAGAACCCAAATGGTTAGAAAAGAACTGACTCCAGGCCAGATATGGTGGTGTACACCTTTAATCCTGGCACTCGGGAAGCAGATAGACCTGAGGTCCAGATCTGATGGTGCTACAGGAAGACCCTGTCTCAAAAGACCCAAACCAAACAAAACCTAAAAGCACTTCTGAAAAATTAAAAAAGCATTAAAATTCGGTTATTTATAGGTAGCCAAACATGATCGAACAAGGCAGGCCACCTTCTACAAGTCCTTACATGCTGCCCCATTCCCCACAGCTAGTCTTGGGACTTACCAACTGGGTCCCATACTTGAACTGCTTCTTCCCAAGCTCATTATCATGATAAAACTCTTGTAGGAACTTCTTAACTTTTTCTACAAAGTAAACATAAAGTTAACAAGCAATCCTTGGAGCCCATGAGATGGTTCAGCGGGTCAAGGCAATTGCCACCAAGCCCGAACACCAGGGCTCCACCCCTGGGGACCACATGGTGGAAGGAGAAAACCGATTCCCGTAGGTTATTCTGATCTCCAGAATCGCGCGCACTCACCGCCCCCAAAACTTCCTTTTGGATTCTTTACTGCAAATCTCTAACGAAAGCCTAAGAAACCCACTTGCATTTAAAACACGATCCCTTAACTAGTTATATGAACACTGAAAACAAGCCTACCTAGTTCTGCCCGAGGCAGGCAGGACTCGACTACCTTCAGAATATGGGTTCCCTGGCAGTTTCCAGAGACTTACCCAACCCTTCCCCAGGGGAATTCCTGCCTCCGCTATAGTTTAAAAGTCTCCAAATCTTCACCCACAACCTCCGCAGACCGCAACACCATCGAGTCTCTGGATACTCGGCTCTCCTTCCACCGTCCGATTCCTCTTTTCCTCGGGGGTCCCCTACACCTCCGTTTCCCGCCAGCGCGGCGGCCAGCGGGCCCGCCCGGCACCCCACACCCAGCTCCCGCCACTGCTTCCGCTCTTAGTAAACAAAGAAGCACATGGGCCCGAATTCCAGCCGCCTCACCGCCCGGGATTCTTCCGCCCAGGGCGGGAGCGTCCGGCGATTGGCCAGCCTGTCCCAGGGCCGCTCCGACCCTCCGCCGCCCGCGGCCAGCCGCGCGAGATCCGAGGCCAGGCACGCCCCCACCCCCCGGCCGCCACCTCCGAGGCCAGCGCGCGGAAGGACACTGTTTACACATGACACTCCCTCCGACCGCAGCGCGCCACTTCCGCCCGCCTCCACTTCCGCTCGAAGGGCGGCGAAAGACGGCCAATCGCGGCGCTCAGCGGCCCTACAGGCTCCGCCTCTCGGCTTCGGCGCGCGTCGGGCGGAACGCGGGAATTCTTCAGCAGCTCTACGCCCGGGAGACCTCCACGAGTCCCCGTCCTTTAGGCGGGGGCTGGGCTCTCGCATCCTCCCAGTCCCTCCAGGCTCGAGCCTGGTTTCTGCAGGCCGCCCGGGTTATCCATTCTCCCACGACCCCGCAGCCTCCGCAGCCCCGCTTCCTCCATCCGGCTGTCCACTGCGATCCTCAGGCGCCAGCCGCCCCTGGCCCCGAGCCGCGCATCCCCGCTTCCCTCAGACTCCAGAATTGTGCTCGCGCGCATCCCCTCACAGAAGAGCCTCACCTTTCTCGATTGCATAGTCCTTCAGGGCCATCGCTGACGGGGGCCGTGCGACAAGAGCTGGCGGGCTAAGACGGCTCACTTCGAGAAAGCACTGACTGAGCGCTAGGCGGGATGCAGCCGACCAACCGAAATTGGCGCGAAACGTCCTCCCCCACGTGACAGGCGCCGCTGCTGGCCGGCCAATCCTACGGGAGTGCCCTCCAGCCCTCCCACCCGGCACTGGCTCCAGGCTCTGACCAATCACTGAGAGAGTCTGTGTTGAGTGACAGGGAGGCGGTGGGCGGGTCCTAAGGCGTGGGCGCGGAGTTTCCCGCGGTCCAAGCAGGCGCGGGCGGGGGAGTCGCTCTTAAAGGGCCAGCTTCTGCGGGTCCTTTTGTTTCGGCACCGCAGGGCGGGGTGGGTTCATCTGTGTTTCCTCGTCCACTCTCAGAGCGGCCATGATTTCCCAGTTTTTCATCCTGTCCTCCAAGGGGGACCCGCTCATCTACAAAGACTGTATCCTTGACGGGCGGGGTGGAGTGGCCTGCTGGAAGTCGAGCCTAGGTCAGTCTGTTGTCGCCTGCACCTTAACTATCCTTTCACTCGGCCAGTCCGCGGAGACAGTGGTGGCCGAGATGTGGCTGAGCTCTTCTACCGGAAGCTGACGGGACTGCCCGGAGACGAGTCCCCGGTTGTCATGGTAACTCCTCTGGGCTGGTGAGCAGGGGCTTGAGACTGTCAGTGTCAAGGGCTGTGTGTTAGGAACCTATCAGGAAGGGGTATACGATTAACCCAAGTGTGTTGAGTGCTAGCAAGACTCCAGGCCCATACTGTAGCCCTTTGACTTAACTGTACAACTCTGGGGTAGGTGCTATCGTTTACCGCTTTACACTTGAGGCCAGGCGTCAGTTAGGGAGCGCCCTAAGTCTCACTTGCCATCTCGTGGGCCACCTCACTGCGACTCTGGTCTTTTGCCCACCTCTGCCTCAGCACCACGATGACCGTCATTTCATTCACATCAGACACAGTGGCCTCTATTTGGTGGCAACAACCTCAGAAAACGTCTCTCCCTTCAGCCTCTTGGAGCTGCTTTCCCGGTGAGTTCTGCTGGTCCAGGCACCCAAGAGAGGGGCATGAGAGGATAATTATTCACACACCCTCTGCTGTGTTTCCTTAGGTTAGCCACTCTCCTGGGTGACTACTGTGGTTCCCTCAACGAGGAGACCATCTCACGCAATGTGGCTCTTGTTTACGAACTCCTGGATGAAGTGCTGGTAAAGTCCAAAGACTTCCCTCTCTTTTTAAACATTTATTTGGGTGGGAGGCTGGGGCCACAGTTTGTGTGTGTGTGTGTGTGTGTGTGTGTGTGTGTGTGTGTAGTTAAGGGGACTACTTGCTGGAGTCAGTTCTCTCCTTTCTCCTTGTAGATCCCAGGGATTGAACTCAGGTTGGCTGGCTTGGCAGATGCTTTTACCCACTGAGCCATCTCACCAGTGCACTCTCCCTCTCTTTAAAATCTAGTGCATGTGTGTGCTTGTGTGTATTATTATAGTACACATGTGGAGGTCAGAGAACAATCTCATGTTGATCCTCACCTTCTACCTTATTCAAGACAGGGTCTCTGCTGGGCATGGTAGCCCATATCTTTAATCCCAGCACTCAAAAAAGGCAGAGGCAAGCAGATCTCTGTGATTTGAAGCTAGCCTGGTTTACATAGTGAGTTCTAGGCCAGTCAGGGCTATGTAGTGAGACCCTGTCCAAAAAATTAAAGAAAAAAGACAGGGTCTCTTTGTTCTCTGTTTTGTGTATGCTAGGCTATTTGGCCTGCAAGCTTCCTGCAATCATCCTGTCTCTACCAAAGGTACACTGTAAGTACAGATGTGCTTACCTTACATAGGTTCTGGAAATTCGAACTCTGGTCCTCCTGCTTGTGTGGCAAGCATTTTATCCATTGAGCCATCTCCCTGGCCCTCTCTTGTTTCCTACTCCCGTGTGTAGGAATGTCGCTATGTCCTCTCTTTACCATGGTGCCCTGTGGTTGGGAGGCTAAGTTCACTCTTCATTTTTTCTGTCTCCTAGGATTATGGTTATGTGCAGACTACATCCACAGAGATTCTGAGGAACTTCATCCAGACTGAAGCTGTGGTCAGCAAGCCCTTCAGCCTCTTTGACCTCAGCAGTGTTGGCTTGGTCAGTACCTGGGAGAGAGAAGGATCAAGAGGGAGAAGAAGGGTTGGCTTGGAGCATCAAAGCTGAGGATTGATTGCTTTGGGTACTTTACAGTTTGGGGCTGAGACACAACAGAACAAAGTGGCCCCAAGCAGTGCAGCCAGCCGCCCCGTCTTGTCTAGTCGCTCCGATCAGGTAAGGGAGGGATCAGTAAAGTCAGACTTTATGACTTCTTTTCCTGGGACCCCAGAGTCCAAGACCTGGCTTATCTTTCTGCTCCCCTTGACATGAGTATTCCTTTACCTCCCAGGGTCACACTGTAGGGCTGTCCTTTCTGTCTGGATGTTTTACTTTTATGCACATGTGTATAGACGTGTGCATGTCAAGGCTAGAGGACGGCCCTAGTTGTCATTGGCAGGAACACTAACCACCTGGTTTGAGATAATGTCTCACTGGTCTGTAGCTTACCAATTAGGTTAGGGTGATTGGCCAGCCAGAGAGCCCCTGGGAACTGCTTGTGGCTACCTCCCCATCACTAGGAGTACAGACTCACATCACTATGCCTATTTTACGTGCATTATGGGGGGATCCAACTCAGGTCTTTATGTTTATACAGCAGGCACTTTACAACACAGCCATCTCTCCAGTCCCCCAACCCCCAGGTTCTCCTTGTAGCCCCAGCTGGCCTGGAACTCACTGTGTAGATCAGCAAGTTCAAGGCTGGCCTTCAACTCACAGAGATCTGCCTGCCTCTGCCTCCCAAGTACAGGGATTAAAAGTGTGTGCCACCATGCCCATGCCCAACTAGCCTCTATATAAGATTTTTAATTATGGGAGCTGGACAGATGGCTCAACAATTAAGAGCACTGATTGCTGCCCTTGCGGAGGACCCAGGTTCAGTTCCCAGCACCTACATGGTGACTTAACAACCATCTAACTCCAGTTCCATAGTATCTAATGCCCTCTTCTGGCCTCATTGGGTATTGCACACGTGGTGCACTTATATACATGCAGGCAAAACACTCATATACATAAAATAAGTTATGACTAGGCATGACATCACAGGCCTTTAATCCCAGCACTCAGAGGCAGGCAGATCTCTGTGAATTTGAAGCCAGCCTGGTTTACATAGTGAGCTCCAGGCCAGCTGGGGCTTGAGAGACCTTGTCTCAAAAAGACCCCCTGACCCGCCCCCCAAAAAAAGATTTTTAAGTGTGTGTCTCCCCATGTACCTCTGTGTGTGCTGGGAACCAAACTTGGGTCATCTGAAAGAGCAGTACCTGCTTTTAACCATTGAGCCATCTCCCCAGCCCCCCTTTTTTTGAGACAGGATCTCTCTGTTAATCCAGGCTATCCTGGAACTCATGGCAGTTGTCCTGCCTCAGCCTCTCAATGATTGGGATCACAGGCATGTGCTACCATGCCCAAAGTTCCCTGTCCATTTTAGAACACAGGCCTTCAGTCTCTAACCCTAAATCCTCTCTCTTTCTCAGACCCAAAAGAATGAAGTGTTTTTGGATGTGGTTGAGAGGCTCTCTGTCTTGATTGCATCTAATGTAAGTCTGGGCTGCCACTCCTGGAGTTAAAAGGAAATGGTACTTGAAGGCTGGGTCTTAATCTCTCTCCCACCCCTAGGGCTCACTGTTGAAGGTGGATGTCCAGGGAGAGATCCGGCTCAAGAGCTTCCTTCCCAGTGGCTCTGGTGAATACCCATGGTTGGGTATGGTACAGGTCCCCTGGTGGCATGTATGGTGGTGTTTGCTGCCCTTTCCTGATGTCCTTCCCTCCTACAGAGATGCGAATTGGCTTGACAGAAGAATTTTGTGTGGGGAAGTCAGAACTGAGAGGTAAGGAGAACTTTGGTTTTTCTCAAGGTTTCATGGAGAGAAGTCGGAAACGATGCTTTCCTCCTGAAGCATGGTCAGGAGAGCAGTCGTCCCTCTTTTCAGGTTATGGGCCAGGAATTCGAGTTGATGAGGTCTCATTCCATAGCTCTGTCAACCTGGATGAGTTTGAGTCTCATAGGATCCTCCGTCTGCAGCCACCTCAGGGCGAGGTCAGGTTCAGGAGGGTCTGGTATATCCATTCACTGTAGGGGAGGGAGACACTGCAAGTATGAGATCAAGCTGACCTGTTGCTCTCTGGCCTCAGCTGACTGTGATGCGGTACCAACTCTCTGATGACCTCTCCTCCCCACTCCCCTTCCGGCTCTTTCCCTCTGTACAGTGGGACCGAGGCTCAGGCCGGTAAGACCATTTCCTCTGTTTTATAAAAAAGTTTTTAAAGCTGGGTGTGGCGGCACATGCCTATAGTCCCAGCACTTGGGAGGCAGAGGCAGGCAGATCTCTGTGAGTTCAAGGCCAGCCTAGTCTACATAGTGAGTTCCAGGCCAGCTGGGGCTATAGGGAGACCCTGTTTCAAAAACGACCAAA